TTCTGTTCCTTTCCCTCTTTCTTCTGAGATCCCTATGATGCCAATGTTAGTACAGTTGATATCCCTGAGGTTCCTTAAATCATCCTCAGTATTTTTCTTTTTTCTTTTTGCTGTTCCCATTGGGTGATTTCCACTATCTTCTAGATATCCGATTCATTCTTCTGCATCACCTAATCTGCTATTGATTCCCTCTAATGTACTTTTTATTTTAGTTATTGTATTCAGCTCTCATTGGCCCCTATTTTACACTTTCTGTTGAAATTCTGTTCATCCATTCTTCTTTGGAGTTCAGTGAGTATGTTTATGACTTAGACCCTTATATCTGGTAGATTGCTTATCTCTTCTTTGTTTAGTTCTTTTTCTGAGGTTTTGTCTTGTTCTTTTGTTTAGAACATACTTTTCTGGCTCTTCGTTTTGCCTAAACTCTCTGTGTTTATATTAGTTAGATCACTTCTGTCTCCTGGTTGTGAAGGAATGAGTTTTTGCAGAAGGTGTCCTGTGAGGTCCAGTAGTGCAAACTCCCCGGTCACCTGAGCCAGGTGCCCTAGAGGTTCCTTGTGTGAGTGGTGTGTACCCTTCTCCTGTGGCTGGGTCTCTGTTGGTGCAGACTCAATGGTTTGCAGAGCTGTCCCCTGACACAGCTGTCTACAAGGCTCAGCGACAGCTTCTTCAGGTGTGCTGGTAAGTAGAGCTGCCCCCCATCCTGTCTGAGAGGCCCAGCTACTACTACTGTTGGGTGGGCTGGTGTGAGGGTTTGGCCCCAGCATAGCTGGCTACCAAGCCCAGCTGTTGCAGGTGCTCTAGCAGGCAGGGCAGGGACCTTTTGGTGGGGGTGGCTCTGGTGCAGACTGAGGCCACCTGCTGGTTGGGAGGGGGAGGGCAGGGAGCCACTTAAGAGGGGCTCCTGGCCAGTGCATGAGTTGCGCTGAGCAAGCTGGTGCTAGCACAGTAGATGGAGAATGTCAGAAATGGTGCCCACCAGCAGAGAATGTTCCAACAGATCCCTGCCCTGCCAGCACATGCCCTAAAATTAGTATGTGGATCTCTTCCATGTGTAGCCCATTTTTCTAACTGCTGCCTCTGCACTGAACCTTCAGCAAGTGAGATTGTGCTGTACCCTTTAAAAGCAGAGTCTGGGGACGCCCGGGTGGCTGAGTCAGTTAAGCAACCGACTTCAGCTCAGGTCATGATCTCACAGTCCGTGGGTTCGAGCCCTGCGTCAGGCTCTGTGCTGACAGCTCAGAGCCTGGAGCCTGCTTCGGATTCTGTGTCTCCCTCTCTCTCTGCCCCTCCCCTGCTTACGCTCGTCTCTGTCTCAAAAATAAATAAACATTAAGGAAAAAAATTTTTGTTAAATAAAAAATAAAAGCAGAGTCTGTTTCCTATTGCACTCCAGCTCTCCCAGACATAAGCCTTGCTGGTTATCAAAACCAGATGTTGTACGGGGCTTGTCTTCCCAGTGCAGGTCCCCCAGTCCTGGGAACCTAATATGGGGCTTGGACCCCTCATTTCACAGGGAGAGCCTTTATGGTTATGAAGTCCCTCCCACTCGTGGTTCCGGACTAGACCATGTCTCTGCCTCCTATCCAGCTTAGAATGGCTTTTTCTTTATATCCTTAGTTGTATAAGATCTGTTCTGCTCTCTGAAGTTCTTTCTCAGAGACAGTTATATATGTAGTTACAGATTTTGGTATATCCTTGAGAGAATGTAAGCTCACGATCTTTCCTCCTCCTCCATTTTGACCTCTTGGGACCAAGGTCCTGTATTAGACACTTTAGACCTTGAAATCTATCCCATGGCTTTTGTGATCATCTTTCCTGATTTTCTTCCAGTCTTTCTGACCACATTTTTCCATTTCCATTGCCCTTGCCCAGTTCTCGGTCTCCTCCTTCAGGGCTAGTATTCTCGGTTTCATCCTTAGCTTCCCTTCTCTTCCACTCCACATCAGCCATCATAACGTTGATAAAGCCTAAACCCATATCCCCCCCAACTACCACTACCACCACCCTCTTTTTTCAGCCCAGACCCTCGTGCTTGTCTACAGATAAAGTATTTGTTGGAATTATCAAGAAATAGGAAATATAAGAAAAGAAATAGGAGCTAAAGCAGTAGGCCACCAAATTACTTCCTACCTTAGGGATTTCTAAGATAGTGGTTTTCAAACTTTATTCCTGGGAGCCCCAGAGTTCTATAATGGTGCCTCTGAGGAAAGAAAAAGCCAGAGCTTGAACAGTTCTGTAGCCAGACTACCCCCTCATCCAGAGCAGCTCAATTTTATCTGTTACGTGTATTGGGGCTACACCTAAGAGTTGGGGGTGGGGGGTTCCATTGATAATAGAAGAGTTTGGAAACCACTGATCTAGAGAAGTATCTTCTGTCACCTTCCTTTTGTTCAAGGAAATAAACAGTATTCCTGGCCATTTGCTTACAGAAGTTAATGCTAGACATTGTGATATCAAAGCAGAAGACTAAGCCTTGAAGGAACTAAGTCATCCCTGCCCTTTGTTTTGGGCTCCTCCAGCAAGAGTCGCAGTGTTGAAAAGACTGTTATAAGAAAGAGTCTTTCAGTGAGGACCTAAAGACCTTCAGCCTTCTAGCTGCAGAACTGCTTTAATTTCACTTCAGTCCTAGTGTATGTTTTCCAGGTACAGTCCTTGCCCGATGCCTGGTGTTTCCTCTCATCGTGAAGGGCCAACGAGAAGCAGCCAAGATCCACAACCACTTGCCAGAGATCCAGAAGTTTTCCACTCGAATCAGAGAGGCCAAGTTGGCAGGAGACCATGCTGAGTGTGAGTCAACTGCAGAATGCACGTAGGAACAGACCACATTTGCACTTTGCTGACATTCTGCTGAGGGAAGGGAATGACCAAAATCGGGAGTTACTAGAGGTGGGCAAGTTGTAAAGATGTACCTGCTCCTTGGGCCTAATGTTTGCAGTGACTAGCAAGGGTCAGGTAGAAATTTCATGGGCCAGATAGTAAGGATAGTGACCTCCACTGATGTAACTGTTAGCCCAACCATTAATTTCCCCTTGTTCACAGTTTACAAGGCCTCCTCGGAAATGACATTTTACCAGAAAAAGCATGATATTAAACTCTTTAGACCTCTTATTCTACCTCTGACTCAGGTAAGCAAAAACATTTTCCTTCTGATTTTATCCCATACCAGTCAGATAGCCTCCTCTGTGTTTCCCATGCCTTAGACCCCAAAAAAGCAGTGGTGGTGATACAGTTGTCAGTAATGGAGTAATAGAATGTCTCCTTTGCTAAAGGGTCCTGACACTGTTTATCCTTTGTACTAGGCCCCAATCTTCATCTCCTTCTTCATTGCCTTGAGAGAAATGGCCAACCTTCCTGTGCCCAGCCTGCAGACAGGTGGCCTCCTATGGTTCCAGGATCTCACACTGTCTGACCCCACCTACATATTACCACTGGTAGTAACTGCTACAATGTGGGGTGTCCTTGAGGTAAGCCCAGGCTGGCCAAGTGCCAGGTCTGCAAAGTGGGGAGTAGGGGTAAAGTAGTTATGCAGAATGGTCATTCTTTGCCCCTTGGAGAAGTAGAATTGATGGGTTGAAATCTGTGCCAGATTCTTTAAAATTGATGTGCATTTGCTCCTTTTTTATTTTTTTGGCAGTTAGGCGCTGAGACTGGTGTACAAAGTTCTGATCTTCAGTGGATGAGAAATATAATCAGAGTGATGCCCCTAGCAGTCTTGCCCATAACTATCCATTTCCCCACGGTAGGTAATGGCTTAGGAACTGGCTCCAAGCCCTTCCACCTAGCCTTGCCATCTCCCATCGAGCTAGTAACAGATGACAGTTTCTGAGTATCGTCTCTTTCTTTTCATCCAGGCTGTGTTCATGTATTGGCTCTCCTCCAATGTGTTTTCCCTGGGCCAGGTGTCTTGCCTCCAGATTCCAGCTGTACGGACTATACTTAAAATCCCCCAGCGTGTGGTGCATGACTCTGACAAATTACTTCCACAGGAAGGCTTCTTAAAAAGCTTCAAAAAAGGTAAGGGTGTGCCCTCAGTATAACAGGATTGGGGGAAAGTAGTCAAAAAATGGGTCGAGGCCCAACTGCCTTCCTCTTTACACAGGGTGGAAGAACGCTGAACTGGCTCATCAGCTACAAGAGCGCGAACGACGCATGCAGAATCACTTAGAGCTAGCAGCCAGGGGTAAATAGCCCTTTCAGGCTAAATTCTGTGATTTGTTTCTTCCTTTCCTCTGTTCATTGAGATTTGTTTTCTTTTGCCCTAGGTCCCTTACGACAGACCTTCACCCACAACCCTCTGCTACAGCCTGGAAAGAATCAGCCTCCCAGCACCCCGAGTAGCAGCAGTGCCAACCCAAAGTCAAAGCAGCCCTGGCGTGACACACTCAGCTGAATTCCATCTCTGCTCACACTGGTAGGAACTCTCTCTTCAAAGGCTCAGCCTCAGAACAAGATTTGACGCGGAGTCATTGTCCCAGGCCTTAGAAACTCTGAGGTGTTGTACAGATCTTCATTGTAAAAGTGGATTCCACTACAGACTCTTACCCCTAAGTGTAAAAGAGCCGAGTGATCTTGCCATCCACAGAATTAGTAAACCTCTGTACTCCATGCTGCTTTCTGACACTTATTAAACAGGGAAATGAACTGAAGGATAGATTGATTGGTAATTGCTCCTGCCCATGCTCTTAGGAAGTGCCTCAGTGTTGTCAACTGGCATTATGATCTTAAACTCCTACCTCATACATGGATTTTTCCATCCATTTATTTATCTTGGATCCTATAAAATATTCAAGTAGATGTGATCAGTACAAAGGACAGGAGTTGATATCTAACAACCTAAAATTTTGCTAGAGCAACTTAGGTGTGCTCTCTCGCATAGAGACTGGTTTCATCAGCCTCCAACAGCTGACTTGAGAGACAAGCAGAAGACTGGGACAGTTTTCATTAGGCTAGGAGGAACACTAAAAGCAGACACCTATCTAAAATGAAGCCACTCAAAGTTTAGAACATAACGTTTATTGTCTAGCACCTGTGACAGTTTCATGTCTCTCTCTCTAAAGGAGACAGGAAGTTTGGAGCATTATTGGCCCTTTTAAAGGAAAGGAGTGGGTAGGCACAGCCAGAAGTGAGTGAACATCTTGACACACGGGAATATGCTACTAGTACAACCAAGCCCACACCTGACATGCTCCCCACCACAGTCTGCTATATTCTCTTTTTTTAAAAAAATCTGGAACAGTGTGTAGCAAAACAAATAAATTACTTTTCATCTCTCAAAAAGCAAGTTCAAAAATTGGAGGCACCTGTCCAGAAGCTTGGTCTGAGCAGCTTCAACAAAGAAGTGTACTTTCCTTTTCTCTTCCTTGGCTCCAGCCAGCAAGAGACAAGAGGCCCCCGCTTTCCGCATCTTAGAATTCTAGATGGTGTTTAGTTAGACTTGGGATCTCGTTGCTTGGGTATCTCTCTTCCATCTTCCAAATCCATCTCTGCAGCAACTGACATACATAGGACCTGGAGGTACCATGTAGTGGATGCTACAAAGAGAAGTGCGAGTCAAAAGTGAGAAGAGGTCAACTGAGCTCAATTCAAGTGGCACTGAACAGGGCTGGCCTGGAGGACAATTCATTTAAGCCTTAGTGTTAACAGCAAGAGCCAACGGCAAAGGTGACTTAGGGGGACGAGATTTGTGGAAAGGCCGTACACAATAGCTAAGCCAACTCGAAGATCCAGAGGCTTGGGGTGGTGGGGAGGGGTGGCTGGATGGCCCAGTTGGTTAAGCATCCAATTTCATGATTTAGGCTCCGGTCTTGATTTCAGAGTTGGGAGTTCAAGCCCCCACGTTGGACTCCACACTGGGTGTGGAGCCTACTTTAAAAAAAGACCCAAAGGCTTACCCACAATCCTTCGGAGGCAGTGAGGTCGCTTGTGTTCTGGCACTCTGATGATGAGGAAGTAAAAGGGCAAGCCCGAGAGAGCAATGCCAATGCCGATGAGGGAGTTGATGGTATCACTGTAAAGCGGTACAGCCACCAGGAAGATGGTGCAGAGGCAGAAGACAATGGGAAAGAAAAGACTGAGCTGAAGGGCACAAGACAAAACAATGGACGTTAGACAGCTACAGTAGCAGTTTCTCCTGTGAAGATTACAGCACTGAGCCCTTTCATCTCCACCCACTACCACCACCAAATCCTAGGCAGAGGGTTCTGTCTTGAAAGAATCCCCTGGAGAAAAGGTAAGATGGAGGTGAATTACCTTGAGGGGACGAGGCCGATTAGGCTCCTTCCAGCGCAGATAAAGCTGACCGACAATAGAGAGCCCCACGAAGAACCAGTAGCTGAAGCTGTAGTAGTTAATGAGCTGAAAGATGTCCTCCACACACAAGTAGATCAGTGCCATGATACCCTGCAGGCACAAGCAGAAGTCAGCTCCTCCTCACAGCATTTGTCACTCAAGGGGTTTTTTTAATGCCCTTTTTTTTAATCCCTACACCCATTGTGGGACTTGAACTCACAACCCCGAGATCAAGAGTTGCATGCTTCACTACCTGTGCCAGCCACATGCCCCCCCACCCCCGCCTATACAGTTTCTCTTAACCTAAAGTCCATCTCCACCTTTTGCTACCTAACATAAAAATCCACTTCAGATGCACTTTGTCCAAGAAGTCTTTCCTCATGCACCTTCTGCCCCCATGGAAGATCATTTCTTCCTTTAAACACTACAGCACTTACTAATCTTGGCAGTCATTTCATCTCAATATATTCAGCATGCTTTATGCCTTATCCTAGACCAGAGGAGGTTACCATTTTTTATGGAAGGCAGTTTTTCTGTTAGACTCTAGAGCTTTGAGGAAGCCAGAACAGTTGTGTGTACTGTTACCATTTCCCCCATAGTCTGGCTTTCAGCCCCATTTGAGGTCACTTACATTGAAGAGCAGAGCAGGTACCGGTGTGAACCGCTCAACATGAATCATGCAGATGGCATCCGGGAGATGGCCTTCTCTTGAGCCCACAAAGAAAAGCCTATTTGGGGTAAGATGAAAGAGGCTGAGAAACTTGTGGGACACTGGGTATGGCTGGTTCGCATACCACATAGCCCTTCTTCTGCCATCCCCTCCTTCAAAAGAGTTTGAATAATATGGAATGGAGTTCAGTTATAGAGATTAGTGAGAACTGGAGGCTGCTGATGGAAACAAGAACCAAGGGGTTAATATCATTATCACTTGGGGAGCAGTGACTACACTCCGGGTCCTATAAGTCCTACTCTTCCCTGCCATAGCTCTTCACGATACCCCCCCCCCCACACACACCCTGTAAAAGACACCACTCTTACCTAGAAGCAGCCACAATGGAGGCATTGAGGCCACCAAAGCAGGATAATGCAACCGCCAATGGAATTGTCCAATTGAAAATTCCAAAAATCTGGTCTGCAAAAGTCTAAGGGAAAGGAACAGAAAAGTGTCATTAGCAGGACCTAAACAGGATGAAAGGCATGGACAAGCGTGCCCCAGATAGCCCCTACCTTGTTTAACTCTTCATTCACAACCAGGGTGACAGGACTTTGTAAGCCCAGTATGGTAAGCATACTTTTTTTTTTTTTTTTTTTTTAAGATTTAATTTTAAGTAGGTAGGGGCGCCTGGGTGGCTCAGTCGGTTAAACATCCGACTTCGGCACATGTCATGATCTCACGGTTTGTGAGTTTGAGCCCTGCATTGGGCTCTTTGCTGACAGCTCGGAGCCTGCTTCAGATTCTGTGTCTCCCTCTCTCTGGCCCTCCTCCACTCGTACTCTATCTCAAAAAAAAAAAAAAAAATTTAATTTTAAGTAATCCCTATACCTCCTATGGGGCCCATAACCCATAACCCTGAGATCATTAGTCACACACTCCGTCAACTGAGCCAGGCGCCCCTAAGCATATTCCTTTCAAGGACCACCCACTTTCCCACAAGTACACCCTCAGCCTTCTGCTAGTGAAAATCCTTTACCACAGCAACAGCATCACTGGCCAGGATGTCCCTCATGTCTAGCACAGTGTAATAAGCCACGTTGGTCAAGATGTAGATGATGGTGACAATGGGCATGGAAATGCCAATGGAGAGAGGTAGGTTCCTATGACCAAATAGAATAATGCATGCATTAGTCCCACGGTCACATCCCCATCTCCTTTATTCCTTACACTCCCACACCAATCCAGGGGTGGTGCCTCCTGTGCATTGCCCCACTGCTTTTGCCTTTGAAGTTACCTACAATCGTGACTTCATTCTTCAGAGTTCAGAGCTTAAAGGGCATCAAGGGAAAAGAATATCACATTTAGAGAAAAGGCTGAGCAGAAAAAGGATTAACAGAACTATGTCACAGAATAATAGCACAGGAAACAGGGGCTTTTTGGTTTTCACATCCAAAGCCTCTTGACGTCAGGATTCCCTCTCAAGATTGTCAACGTTGGGAAATTGGTATTAAAGTGGAGAAATCTAAGAGGAAATTATGGAGGCAAATTGTGAAATCTAACATCTCCAGAGAATAAGACTCTTGTTGGGAAGAACACTATGTATCTACATAAGCAAGCTGGGAACTATGTCCATGCCCTTACTCAACTTGAGAAGCTTATGTGCCATCCTAACCAGTGGCCAAGAGAAAGACACAAGGACAAGGTCCTCTGGACCAATAAAGCAATGACCTTTATAAGCATTCTTCACAGTGAGGGGGAGGGGGGATATTCTCAAGTCATTCAGCTTCTGTCCAGTAGGTGGAAGCACCACCCAGGCTCAGTCCTGCTTCTGTTATCCGCTCCCGGAATTGCAACACTGGATGTGTGCCAAGAAAAGTTTATTATTTTGATTTAAAAATTTACAGAAACTCCATTCCCTCATACTCTTAGTTCCAAGAATAATTGAATTTTTGATCCAGGAAGGGCTCTGGAGATCATATAATTCAACCCCCTCAATTTATACATAAGGAAGCAGGCAGAGTTGGCAGGGGACTCCCTCAAGGTCATCAACAAATCAGTGGAAAGACAGGCTCCAGGCTCTTTGACTCCCTGTCCAGTGCTCTTGTCACTGCATGACTACAGACTACTTGAGAATAAAAATGAAGCAATAGCATTCAATGCTGACATGATACCACTATGTCAGTATAAATTTGAGAAAGCAAAGGATCAAAAAAGAAATAGGACCATTTGGGGGCATTTGGGACCTAAAGTTATCTATGTGAGGATAAAGGTGGAGGAGTATCAAGAAAAAGCCATATGAAAGCACGGATGAACACACGGTAGAACCTGCTTTAATTAATGTAGGAATGAATGAGCAGATGTGAAAAGGCCTGCTGTTACGGACTAGGTATTTGGGCTTTAGACCTCCCATCTATTAAAGTGGAACCAATAAAATCAGTCTCAGTGGTTGTGGTATGCTGTCGGGCACAACTCAATAAATGATAGCATATCCTTACTGCTGTGGAAAATTGATGGTGAGATACCTACCTCTCGGGATTCTTGATCTCTTCAGTAACATAGTTGAGGGTGTCCCAGCCTGAGTAGGAGAACAGAGCCGAATACAATGCCAGGGCAATGTCCCCCACTGCAAATGATGAACCCTCAAAAGAATTCTCCAAGTGAGTGGAGGCTCCTGGAATCCAGAGAACATGGAAAGACAAAAGGATTAGTGGTTCGCCCTCAACTTTAAGGTGATCCAATAAAGGAATAAAAGAATAGGACAGTAATAGCTAGTGAGTGGCTTAGAACACGGTTGGCAGCAAGGGCAGTGGTAAAAGAACAGGGACAGAAGAGAGACCTCTACAATGATGGGCTGGAATGCAGGGAACAAACAGCATGGGGATCTTGACAGGAAGGACCATGGTGGTTTTCCAGGGTAAGAAACCATGACAGAACTGAAGGGCTATAGAACATAAGTAATGTGGTTCTGTCCTATCCTGTAAGCTACCCGATCCCACCCCTTTTCTAACCCCACAGACAGCTGGTACAGAATGGAGGAAGGATAGGGCTTAGAAGGCCCAGGTCAATAGAGTAGTAGACTATGTGTTCCTACCTGGAAACTGGAGAGGAGTGGGTACAAGTGTTTCATTTCTGCCCTTACCCACTTCCACGGGCAGAACAATCACAGCCACAGCATTGGACTTAACAGTCTGCAACAGCTGGCAAGACCAGCTTTGGGATCATCTCAGTACAAATCTCCACTAACTTACTAGCTAGGGACTCAGGCAAGATACTTAATTCTGCAGCCTCAGTTTCCCCCATCTATAAAATGGAACTAGTAGGGGCGCCTGGGTAGCTCAGTCGGTTGAGCGTCCGACTTCAGCTCAGGTCATGATCTCACACTCCATGAGCTCGAGCCCCGCGTCAGGCTCTGTGCTGACAGCTTAGAGCCTGGAGCCTGCTTCAGATTCTGTGTCTCCCTCTCTTTCTCTGCCTCTGCTCATGCTCTGTCTCTCTCTGTCTCAAAAATAAATAAAAACATTAAAAATAAAATAAATAAAAAATAAATAAAATGGAACTAGTAGTACCTAGCAAATGAGAATGCACAAAAGGCAATTAAAGAAGTGTGGCTCAAAGAACTGCACAAAACTTAGTCACTATTATGTCTTACCCTGGCCGAGTCTAACGATGCCTGCAATGATGACGGCGATCAATGCCAAGACTTTAGCATAGGTGAAGATATCTTGTACCAGTGTTCCCCACTTGACATAGGCACAGTTAATGAAGGTTAAGAGACCTGAAAAAATAATAACAATATTGATTGGGGACTGTCCCTACCACCCAGAGAGCCTTAGACTTTCAAGCAATATTTCCAGTAGCAGTCATCAAAACAGAGCCTTTGGCCAAAGAAGTGTTTGGGTTCTGACCTGCTGTGTATTCGACACCTCTGCCCAGAATGTCCTCACCATTAGCATTCAAAGGCACCTGCTGAGCATCTGTGTAGGCAGCACCACACACACCCTTAGCACTTACACTAAGAGAGGAAAAACAAAGTAACTGGATTTGCTTAAAAGTGCTCACAGCAGTGGGAGGCAACTGGTAGCTGTACAGGATTAGTGTTTTTCCGCTACTGGCTCTGAAAAGTCATGGTCTGTCCCAGCTTTCCACCCCTTTACCTCCTGATACGGGCTCCAGGACTCAGCGCTCTGGTATTGTTAACCTTGGTAGATCCTGTTGTGACTTATCCAATGCCTGGCCCAGCAGGTCAGAACATGTGGCCAGGGATTAGAATGGGGGCCAGACTTCCTGCTGCTGCCTGCCAGCTCAGCCACTTGTTTTTGTACTTGGAAAGATTCTTGGAGCTGAGGTTCCTATAGAGTGGGGACAGCATTTTTCCTGACTGGACATTGCAAAAGAGTGAGCCACACAGGTCATGATCTCACAGTTCATGGGATCAAACCCCACATCGGGCTCTACTCTGACACCACAGAAACCTGCTTGGGATTCTCTCTCTCTCTCTCTCTCTCAAAAATAAACAGGGGCACCTGGGTGGATCTGTTGGGTGAGCATCTGACTCTTGATTTCAGCTTAGGTTATCTGATCCCAAGGTCATGGGATCAAGCCCCATTTCAGACTCTACTGTGCATGGAGCCTGCTACTTAAGATTCCCTGTCTCTTTCTCCCTCTGCCCCTCTCCCTCACTTGCACTCTCAAAATGTAAATAAACATTCAAAAAAAAAAAAAAACCCCACAAACATTCCTCAAGTCCTTCTACCTCGGGGGTAGAGGCAAACCCTTTACCTGGATGAGCTTTGGAAAAGTCCATGGATCACCCCTAGAGAGTTCTTAACCTACAGCTTCCACAATGCTTGAAATTCCTTGTAAATGGTTATGTATGTACACCAAAAATATATGCATTTTTCTAAGAAAAGCGTCCTTAGCTTTATGTCAGAATTTCCGAGAAATCTGTTACCCCCAAAAAAGTTTCAGTTTACTACTTCAGAAGATGACATTCAAGAAGGGAAGCCCACACATGCTGTGAAGTTGACCGATAGCCCCAGGATGTGACAGGGAAGAAAGTCAAAAGAAATGATTCTGAAACTCAGCTGAATGTTCTCAATCCCCCACCAGCCTCTTAAGCAGGCAGGCAGGCACTTGCAGCACGCCTTCCCCACCCTGGCAGAGAATCACCTTGCTGCTTCTGCCTTCCCAGCTCAGCAACTGGAGCACCAGGAGGGGCTTAACAGTTCCTTCCAAGAGATCCCAGGGTAAGATCAGAATCAGCCTGCCTTAAACTGCAGAAAGTGAGGTCCAGTGCTGGGCTTGCCTGCTTCAGGCTACCGACACGGAAGAAATACTCCCTGTCTCAGCTCTGGTGGTGGCATGTCCCTCAATGTCCCTAATCCCCCTGTTTTCTTGTGTCCTGGCCTCACCACACTGCCCCAGAAGCATCTTCATCCTGAGAAGCAGGAAAGACCAACCTCAAAGAACAGCTCATCTTCTGTCTCTCCCCCATCCCCCCCTCCTTTATACCCCTATTCTCGCTGCCCAAGTTCTTTTCTGCTCTTCAGTAGAAGGGGCATTCTAGTCCTATACAAACACTTGCCTTTCTGCCTAATAAACAAGACAATAAACAACCAAAGCTTATCACAGGGTTGGGCAAAAATACACCGGTAACTCCTCAGTGCTCAGTTAATAATTAGACATGCATACTGGCTCCCAAGCACCCTACAAAATGACCAAAGTGCCTTTATCTCACCCTCCACAAATCTCTGAGCTCTGTTGATCCTCCCCAGTCAATTACCCATCCTTCACTCCCCACTGGGCTTCAGTTTCCAGCCATTCAACAGCCCTCACGCCCCTTCTGTTCACCCTGTGACCCCTACACCTTACCCTCAGGCTCTGCTGCTGCTTCACAAATAACAGAGCAGCCAGATTTCTGAGTAGAAACGCCCGGCCCCGAGACCAAAAAAGGGCAGAAGTGGGGGAAGGGGAGCACCTGGCCGGCTACCAGTTGGTAGAGCATATGACTCTAGATCTTGGGGTCATGAGTTCGAGTCCCAAGGTGGGTGCAGAGTTTACTTAAAAAAGTAAAAATAAGGGGCGCCTGGGTGGCTCAGTCGGTTAAGTGTCCGACTTCGGCTCAGGTCATGATCTCACGGTCCGTGAGTTCGAGCCCCACGTCGGGCACTGTGCTGACAGCTCAGAGCCTGGAGCCTGCTTCAGATTCTGTGTCTCCCTCTCTCTCTGACCCTCTCCCACTCACACTCTGTCTCTGTCTGTCTCAAAAATAAATAAACATTAAAAAAAAGTTTTTAATTTAAAAAAAAAGTAAAAATTAAATAAAATAAAATATAAAAAGAAAGGCCAGGGACAACAGATGCTACAATATTCACAAGGGAATGGGATCACAGAAACTGATAGTTAGCCCTCAGGGTAACCACAGTCACACCACCAACCCGGCCTAGCTTCAGGGATTAATTCAGGTTCAGAGTCTGTCTGCAGCCTTGTACCACAGCATCTGTTCTCAGCTCTGTCCAGGCATGTGGGCAGGGAAAAGACAACTCATCATCCTTTACCACAACAAATTCTGAAATGAAAATACATGGATTGTTTGCATTTTAATCCCTACTGCTTCTCTACTTGAATTCCATATCCATCCATTTGCATCCCTCCTTTTACCCACCAGTTTTTCTCCCTCCCCCCACACCTGAGCCTTCTTTCTCAGCCACCGACCCACCATCTTGCCCTGATCTACTGCATCCTGAGCACTGGGACGCGGTTTGAATGAAGAAGGGAATCCTATGGAAGGAAACGGAGCAGGGAACTGCCTGAGGAGAGCTGGCCCTCACCTTCCCCAGAGCCCAGCTTCCTCCAGGGCCTCTTGGCCATGGGAGCAGGAAATGGGTATGGCAGGCAGCACTGCTGACTGGGCTGTTTGTCCTCGCCCACAGCGGATACAGCTGACCGGAGACCCCAAAGCCCAGCCTAGTGCACTGTTCTTAAAGTGGAGCCCAACCTCCTGCTTCAGAGGCAGGAAAAGGAGGGGACCACAGGCTTATAGTAATATGGAGGCAACTGCAAGCCAACCTCAAGGACAGAAATGCCCTACCCTCCTACCTCTAGGTGTAATTCCATCTCCACCCAACACTGGGCCAAGTCCACAAGAAGATGGCTGGAAATCACCTTGGACCCATGACTCAGGTGCAGCTCCTTTCCTGCTTTGACCTGCTCTGGAGGAAGGAGAAGCCACTCCTATCATCATCTAAAGAGATGCGCCTGAACGGTCGGTCGGTCATCAAACCCAACTGCATGGACTCTCCTGGAGCAGAAGGCTAGTTCTAGCACTAAGGCCCAGCGTCAGCTGTAGAACTAAAAGCCAGGAAAGCACCCACATAGATTGATACAGAACAACAAAGCTTGTAGGCCCAACTCAGATCAGATGCCCAGATTTACTTTAGATGCCCACACTAAACAGTCCCTGAAAAAAGAACATTAAACCCACAATTCTCCCAGCACCGTTAGTTTTAAACACATAGAATGTAACACATGCAACTCTGGCCACTATTCAGTGTATTTTCTGCTTCAAATTCCCAGAGACTATAAAACCTCAATACTTTATTTATTAGACAACTCATTCCATTTTTAAAGAGATCAATAGCTCTTCCCTCCACTAAGCCAAAAACTTCTTCCTCATAACTTCTACCCAGTAGTCCTAGACCTCTCCTCTGGAACTACACAGAATCCAGATAAATGGCCTCATTTACATAATGGCCCTTCTTATCAAACATTAACACCCTGTCCCTTTTGATACTTCCCCCCATTGAAGCTAAAAACCCAGTTTCTTCAACCTCTTGTGTGACAAATGTCACTTCCAGATCACTCACTCACCATCGAGTTCCCTCCTCTCCATTTACTTCACTTTGTCAGTATGTCCCTGGAAACATGAGACCACACAGAACACTCCAGACATTTTTGCAGACTATGGGGTTTCAGTTTGAATTCACTGTCAACTACAACTCCACCTCAGACTAATGAGCTTTTCCCTATCCCCCTTTCAGGGCCTAAAGGATTTTTTTTTTTTTTTTTTTTTAATCCTAAATAGGAGACCTTAACAATTATTCCCAGGAACTTTCCTCTGTAAATTTTTAGGTATCATTCCCATCTACTAGAAATGCATTTTCCCTCCTAATTTTACTAAGTAGTTCAAATGCCTTCAATTTGTGAAATCTGTAAATTTGATTAGCATACCTTCTGGGTCCTCCCTGAAGTCTTGATGAAAATGTTGACTAGACAGGCAGAGCCCTGTAGTCAGTCTATCATTAGAGACCTTCCTGTATGCTGTCATTATTCTACAACATCAACCAAGAATCCACCAAAGTATTCTTTTATCTAGTCCACCTTTTTCTACCTTGTCAACAAGAATATTGTGAGAATTTGCCAAGAACTTCTCTGAAATCTGTATAAACGTGTCTCTGCCCTTGCAATCTAATGACACAATCAAATGATTCAATGAAATTAGCACGCATTTATAGAATTTTCATAGCTATACCACGTAATAGTCAAAAATTAGAAATAACCTGGGGCTCCTGGCTGGCTCAGTCAGTAGAGTATGCAACTCTTTTTTTTCTTTCTTTCTTTTTTTTTTTTTTTTTTTTGGTAAGATTGTTTTTAATGTTTTTTATTTATTTTGAGAGAGAGCACACATGTGCATTCAAGCAAGTGAGGGAGGGGCAGAGAGAGGGAGAGAGAGAATCCCAAGCAGGATCCATGCTGTCAGCCCAGAGCCTGATGTGG